CGGGTTCGGTTCATTTCGGTCTCGGTTCATATTTTATATAAACCGATTCGACCCGAACCAATTCGGTTCGGTTCAGTTTTTTGGGTCAGTTCGGTTTCTTTCCCCCAATAAAAACATTGATGAAAAGTCTAGGCTAATATATTTGAATTGGAATATAATTTTGATTTTAAATTCAAACATTCTGTCTCAATTTTTTTAAAAAAATTAATCCAAATCTAATGTATAATCCATTATTATTATTTTTAAAATTTGAAATCATAAATGAAAATTCGAAGGTATGACATTCAAAACTTACTTAACTTAATCAATTAAGTTATGTTCATATCAATATTTTAACATTTTGGTTAGAGTTTTGAAAATATTTTTTAAGTTTAAAATTTTAAAAGTAATCAGGGTCGATGAAATTCAAGTAGTTGCTATGTCAAATCTATATGTTATATATATTCCTAATTACTTCATAGTAAAGCCAAATTCTTACAAATTTTAAATTAAACTATTGCCAACTATAACTTAAAAATTAAGTTATTTTTAATTTTAAACTATATGTAACTAAATTGTTACATAATACAGTTTAAATTTGCTTAAAATAGGTCTCATTAAAGATAAAAGGTCAGTTATCCATTTGCTTGTTTGATAATTTATGCCCTCATTTTGATTGAAGACTAAAGTGTAAACCATTTTATTATAATATAGGTACAGTAGAGTCTTCACTCAATTTGTCTGAAGAGGAATGGGATCAAGTATTAGACACAAATCTTAGAGGAGCTTGGTTGGTGTCGAAATATGTGTGCATACACATGCGTGACACCAATCGAAGTGGATCCATCATCAATATTTCTTCGATCACAGGCGTTAACAGAGTGCAACAACCAGGAAGCATTGCCTATGCTACTTCAAAGACGGGCTTAAACACTTTAACAAAGGTATAGTTTCTTATACCGACTTGTTTTTACTCTTTAAATGTTGAAAAGATGTTTTGTCGTCATAGTTTCTATAAACATGAGTTTGACTAATAAGAAGTCTAGAAACTATTGTTGGATTTGTAAGGGAAATGCAAACAAAATCTCACGTTGACTAGGGAAGGAAGTAATTAATCATGGATATATAAGAAAGAACAACTATCTCCCTTGGTACGAGGTCTTTTAGGTGGAACCAAAAGTAAAGCCGTGAGGACTATGTCCAAAGCGGACAATATCATAGCATTGTGGAGATATTAGAGATACTGTTGTAATTTGAATTTGCATGAATCACATGACTTTTTAGATTTGAACCGGTGACACGAGGATTTTCAGTCCTCTACTTTACCAAGTGTGATAGTTTAAGATACACAAAACTTTCGTATCAAATGTGTAGGGTTAATTAGTTTCACAATCCTATGATATATATATACAAACCTGAAAGTGTTAAGTTAGATGCAATTTAATCTTATCTTATCAATTGTTTTTTCTCTATCATTTTGTCTTCTATGGTTTACTTTGATTTTATGAATCGTCCTAGCTAGTGTATGTCTAGTTCATGTTAATTTGTTGCTTCTGTAAAAAGCTTTCATTTTATACTGTGTAACTTGGTGACAGGTTATGGCAATGGAACTAGGAAGATACAAAATCAGGGTGAATTCCATATCACCTGGACTGTTTAAATCTGAGATTACAAAGAACCTTATGGAGAAATATTGGCTTAAGAATGTAGTGCGAAGAACAGCACCTTTAAAAACATTAGGAACTTGTGATCCTGCATTAACAACACTACTTCGATATCTGGTACACGACTCTTCTAGTTACGTTTCAGGCAATATTTTCATTGTCGATGCAGGCACCACATTACCCACCATTCCAATTTTCTCATCCCTTTGAAGAAAGTTTCTTTCTTCAAATTTGCACCAAGTTTTCCACACCCTTTTGAAGATTGTTTGATGTCGACATTGATTGCAATGTCTCAAGGATTTCTCCATTACTTTTTTCATTCTAATAAATATAATGTACATCAAGTGAATGGGTATCTTATTATAAATTTTAATACCATGAATTATCTATTTCAAGTTGCCTTTAATTTTTATGTAATTTATTTGGATTTGGCTTAGTGAAAGTGTACCATCTCATTTATGAATCAAGTTGATTGATGTGTTTGACCTTTTTAATTGTAACTATAAGTAAAATCTCCTTCAAACTGATACTCCTCTATGTCTCCCTCATTAAGAAATGGTGTAGGGTTGAATATTTTACATAAAGTATTACCGTACGTAGTTCTCTTATATTACATTAAAATTGAATTTCATTATATACGAATTGGTTAAGATATACCTATTTTTTATTCAGAGATCGTGAGTTTAAATCTCCACTCCCACATATTGTACTAAAAAAATAATAAATTAAACCTTGTTTGATGAAAATAGATATTATATAAAGAGGTTGTGCAACACTATAGAATGATACCTTGTTATAACTTATTATTATTCTTTAAGAATTTTTTTGACATGACAATATAAATTATTTACTTCTCTAAAAAGTCCAGTGAAATCTCTCAACAAAAAAAGAAATATATATATTTTTTAATTTTAAATTAGGTGAAGCTGAGGAAGACAAGTGATGCAGGATGGGTTTCTTTTAAGTGGTCACCACCCTGAACTTTCTTTCTTTTCTCTTGAGCTTAGAAAAATTCAAGCAGAGTGAACCAATTAAAATTAGCCAAGGAAAAACCTACGTGACATAATAATTAGTCAATTGATGAAAATTTAGAGGAGAAGAAAGGTCATCTAAGACACGAGAGTTTCCGATTTTCGACCTCCAAATTTCTAAGGAATTGGTAGAAATTTCGAATTTTCTTTGCTTGATGGCAATTTGAATGTAGAGATTAGTACATAGATGATCTATTTAAAAATCATAATTACGTAAAAAGATGGAAAAATATAAAATTTACACTTTTGTCATGAAATAATCCCTAATTAGATGATACCCATAACACAAATTACTAATATATCCATATAATTCATTTCAATATTAAATAATTATTAAAATATAAAATTGGTAAATTGGGAGGTCAAATTCCTTATAATGTGCTAACGATACTTCCCAAAATTAAAAAATCTCAAAACCCAAAAAACCATCTATTTTCGAAACTCACCTCTTTCTTCTTCCTCGTTTTTCTTTTCTTCCTCCGACCGTCGGTTTTCCTTCCTCCGACCATCCGTTCCTCTTTTCCGACCGTCCGTCGCTGTCTGCCTTCCTCCAGTCGGCTCCATTTTTCTTTGTCGCAAGAGCATTTCATCTCCGACCGCCTTCGAAAGGAGATTTCCGTTAGTTCTTCCTCTCCGGTCGTTTCTGAAAGCCTTCATCTCTGACCTACATCTGCCTGCCTTCATCTCCGACCGCCTCCATTTTTCTCAGTCGCCATAGCAGTTCATCTCCAGATTGAAATGTTTGCATTCCAACGGATGTTTTGAATTTCTGATTTCGTGTGAAATATTGTATATGTGAGGATATATAGTATAGTGATTTTATTAGGATATATCTTATAACTCAACTTGTATATATGGATATGCGGATATATACTATAGTGATTTTGAATGTATGTACGTGGATATATAAGTGGATATATCTTATAACTCAACTTGTATATATGCGGATATGCGAATATATACTATAGTGATTTTCAATGTATATATCCGGATATATAAGTGGATATATACTGTGATTTTGACTATATTTTTTTGAATATGTGGATATATGTTTGTTGAGACTTCAAACGATGTTTATGTGATTTTGAATTGTCCTTGAAGATTGAGCACAAATGTGGGACTGAATTAAGGGAAAATCAATGTTTTTGAATGAGTAAATTAAGGTTTTGAAAGAGTGAATCAAGATATTTGTGATGAAAATTAGTGTGGGGCCTACAATAATTAAATGATTATAGTAATAATTTATGGAATTAAATCTTTTATATTTCAAAAAAACAAATATGTATAATAAATATAAATGCAATAAATAAGGGTAAAATTAGAATTAAAATAAAATCCTACACAGAAATCTAAAAGTGTAAAATTAGAAAATTTTAGACATTTGTGTAAATATGTTAAAAGAAATAGACCATGTCATTTTTTTATTGATGAATTTGAATAGAGAAATTACTTTCCTAATTGTTGGGAGGCAAACTGCTGGGGTCGACTTGTTTAAATAGGATCAAGTAAGTCGACCTAACAGGTCGGGGTCCGATACTTTGGTAAAACAAAGACGTCCAAAGCTTCCACTTTGAGGTAGGAAAAAGTCCGGTGAAACGCATGGACCGAAGGTCCCTAAGGTGAGCCAGGTGCGAGTAGGGGAATACCATGATGGGAAAGTAGCTACTCCATCGATCACTATAAATACACCTCCCATCTATCACTCCAAGTATGAAAATCTGTCTGAAGCTAATATGTCTAAGCTTGGATTACTAATTAACTTGGGCGTCAGAGTGACCTACCTATTTTGCAGGTACCCCAAAGGATCTCGCCCTAAATCACCAACACCGACCTCTCAAGTCATGGCCCGTGCCTTAGACAGTTTTTTGCATCAACATTAATTATCTTACAAAGATATTTAATTAATTATCTTACTAAGATATTTAATTGTGTACGGAAGAGACTTATAATTTATGCACTTTCTGCTTGTAGGATAATTAATTGTTCAAATGTTGGCTTTATTGAATTATTGGCTTGTATAATTTGTTGGTGAAATCAATTATCCTAAGGACCGTTTTCCATTGATTTTTCCCTTAGTTTTGCTTGTCATTCTGATTTTCTATCTTGTCTTAAACACAATTTCCATTCTCAAAATAAAATTGTACGGTTGTATCTGTACTACTCACATGAACTTAAACCCAATATAATCTAGATGAAAACATCTCTATTTACTTATAATTATATTAAAAGTACTTTACTCGTATACTTGAGGTAATCAATTATGCTACAAGTCTTTTGGTGTCGTTGCCAGTAATAGACAATTGTTTAGTCTCACTTTTTTCTTTTTGAGTACAAGATGTAGAAATAGAGATTCGAACTCACGACCTTTTAGTTGAAATATGATAAGATTCAAGATGTGGAAATAGGTGTTTTAACTAGTTGAATTATGATCAGATTGGCTATTTAACGTCACTTTGTGATAGCACACTTTGTGACCTGTATTTTATGAGGATTATAACTTGATTTTTGTTAGTTTTCGTGTTATTCATGCCAAATTTATACACATGAGTATATATTGTGTAGGAACGAAACATTAGAGAGAAATTAAAGATATAGCTCACAAATATGGGAAGATCAAGACCTCACAGTGGATTCGCGAGTCTAATGTCACAAATGCAACTTCGACAAAGTCCACAAAGAGATTACGCAGCATTTGCTCCCACTCGCAAATAAGTCGGCCAATTGAAAGTGCCAGAAGCAATATCACAACGGGTCTATCTCGCAACCTCTACCCCACAGTTTCGAGAAAAACTGGTTTATTAAACTTGGATGGAGAAAACAATATTTGGAAAAAGCATTTGAAAGCATTTTGGAAAGCTTGTTTTAGACTTTAAAGCAAAGAGAAATAACAGATAATCAAGCATCCAACTTAAGGTAGGAAGGTGACTAGGTATACCTGCCAAAATACATTATAAAATAGTCTATAGTAGGTGTGGACGTGCAAAGTGACAAGGAATCACTTGCCATAAAAGATGTAAGAAAAGATAAATGAACCTGTAAACTAAATATAAAACATGAAAGCATGCGAAAAGAAGTTGTTATGGGCATTACAGCTACGCAGGCAAGTCTCGGACTAACATGATCATGACACCTAGCACCTAAAAGGACAGTGCATAGGTTTCCCATATAGTGTCTTGACACTTGCAACATGAAGGAACTATCAATTATTCAAGGTTGTAGCGTCGTGGTACTGCCAAGAAGTGTCATGGCGCCTGCAAATCAAGTGTAAAGACGAGTTCTAAGATAGAAGCAACACAGGATAGTCACTTGTAACACCACGACACTATAAATTTCGCGTTGGTTAAAAATTAACTTAGATCAAATAATTCAATTCTAAAAATTAATAAATAATCTATCAAAGAATATATATATATTTGGATTGAACTGGATGAGAATTTGATCTTCCTTAATTGACATTATAATATATTAACTAGTTGAGTTATTTAATAAGAAAATAAATTAACTTAAAAGAAATTAGGAAATATTAAAACTAAAATAATATTAAGCCAAAATTCACTCACCATGTGTCACATTTTAATATTTTGTGCACTATTTAGAGAAGTTTTTGGGGATTTCTTTAAAAAATTTAGAGAATTGATGGGAGAGAACACTATTTTCTTGGCCAAACTATGGACGACACAGTAGCATGATAGTGAGATCTAATATCTAGAAAGGAGATTAGGACATAGGACAACGATCCCTAAGAAAATCGCCATTAAAATGATCGAAAATTAGCCGAACTATTTTTTTTTTTAATACAACATGTGAGGTTTGGGATTTGACGATCTCTTAGTTTGAGATATATAGGTATCTCAACCGGTTTAGTTATACTCAGGTTGGCAATTAACCTAACTACTTCATATACATTATACAATTGTTTAAGAAACAGTGATTTATTATCATGACTTATACTACGCTTTGATATTATCATGACTTATACTACGCTAGGGAGAGAGAAGTGTTGGGATTGGTGGAGCCAAATCAAGGTCGAAATTGAAGGGATGTGAATCCCGGAGCGGAAGCGGACTTTCGTTGCTGATTTTCGGGATACAAAATTGAATTTTATAGAGGGAAAATACAGAGGAAATACAAACCTTTGAAGAACGTTTCTTCACTAAGTTCCCCTCGAACACCACCACCGGATCTTCCTCGCTATCCTCTTGGGTCTCGGGATCGTGTTTGTGGTAGCACCTTGATAGAAGAGAGGGAGAGATTGA